AGTGTTTGTTCTTGTCATTACAGAGGGAGTTATGATGTGTCCTGAGATTGATAACCCCGCCAGCTGCGAAATTCGCCCTGATGTCCGCATTATTCACGCTAAAAACATGAGTCTTGCAGAAATTCAGCGTGAATTATGCATGGCGGTTTACGACCGAAATGTAATGGGTGAAGGAGTTGTAAGACAATGGTTTGAATGTTCAAAGTTCGGTGAACAAATATTCACGATGAAGAGTGAAGTGGTCGGCCATCTGTAGTGAGTGATGATATTGTTCAAAGTGTTGACCAAAAAATTTTTGAAAGACAATTTCACAAGATCAAATTTCAGAATTTTCGTGTGAATTTTCACAAATTTCACGCACAGTTCTCTACGAGATTATCACAGTTGGACTGGGCTATCACAAGTTTTGCACAAAATGTGTTCCGAAACTGCTCCCGGCTACACATAAAACGCAGAGAATGACTTCAGCTTTGACTTATTCAAAGCGATACCACAAAGATAGCGATGAAATTCTGAGCCACATCATACAAGTAAAAGGTAATGAAACCTGGGTTTCATGTATGAATGTTGAAACGAAACAACAGTTAAACGAGTGGATGCATATACATTCACGAAAGAAGCCGAAAAAGCTTAAACGAACGTTGTCTGCCAGAAAGCCAATGGCAGCTGTTTTCTGGGACAAGAAAAGAGCGCTGATGGTGGACTTAATGCAACAAGGGACGGCAATAACATTAGAAGCGCATTGCGAGACCCTAAAAAAAACGCGTAAGGCCATTCAGAAGGAAAGGCGTGGAATGCTGACTTACGGTGTAGTGTTAATCCATGACAATGTGTATCCACATACAGCTGCTCGCACTCGAGCACTTCTGGAGCATTTCATCTGGGAGTTGTTTGACCATACTCCTTACAACCCTGATCTCGCTCCGGGCGACTGCCATCTATTTACGTACCTGAAGAGCCGGTTAGGGTTCTCGGGCTTCAGCAGTAATCAGGAGTTGATGGAAGATGTTAAAACGAGACTGAGCTCACAGACGGCAGATTTCTTTTTTACACAGATATACGAAAATATATTCCCCGTTACGGCAAGTGCCCCAGTTCAGGAGGTGACTGCTTTGAGAAGCAGCTTAAGTATGTACTTATTTCTTATATACAATTTATATTTTCTCATTGCATATTTTGTTAACAGCTCATCGGATGTTACTTTCCGAATAGCCCTCGTACATATATGCCTAATTTGTCAAAACAGACAAATATTTGACGGGCTAGCAATCTGTCGCTAATTTCTATGTCGCCTCCATGGAAAAGAAATGCAAAATATTTTCTCCTGCTTCTTCACTCTATTAGTCTTTTCCGGTCTCATTTATGACTCCAATTCTTCCTCTGTTTTTCCACACTTTCTTTGCCGTACGCATCATAAATTATAGCACTCTTCGGAGGTACACTTTTCGTTTGTTCCTATTTGTTTCAGTAAGAATATTCCAAGCTCTGCATTTATATACCTCTCGGATAATTTTGCACATAACCAGAAGATGGCAGCACCTCTTGTTTATGTCTCGAAGCTTGAAGGTTCATGGTCAATGTCATGAGCGTTTATTTTGCCCTACTGAATTGAAAAATATTTGATTTTCTTGATATCGGTTCGTAACTGCTAGATTTGCTTAATGAATTGAATACCTAATATAGAATATTTAGAGCATAAAACGAACAAAAGTTTGTAATATGGCAAGTAAATGGTGATGAAAATACATTTTATTTTAATGGCAGTGTTTTTTATTGCTAGTGGGCTGGGACTAAATCCCTTGTACCGCGGCCAATTCTGGACTATTGTACCAGCCCCAGATGATAAGTGAGGGTGATTGTGGAGCAATTGGTGGGATGAAGATTGGCAGGGGAAACCGAAGTACTCGGAGAAAACTTTCCCAAACGCCAATTTGTCTACCACAAATCCCACTTGACCAGACCCGGGATCGAACCCGGGCCGCCGCGATGGGAATCTAGCGACTAACCGCTTGAGCTATGGTGGGACCTAATGGCAGTGTCACTCTTCAACGAAAATCCTCATACAAAACTTACAAGAAAAATTGTGCAACGTATCATAAGCAAATAGGAGTGGTTCTCTCAATATGTGACAAAAGACCAAGGGTCGCATATGAGTATGATTGGTTTTGTCAGGTCACTCCAATTTCAGAATAATCACGAGTATATAAGTTATCTGCTGAGAGATGGCGTGTATGATGGCCACTTCGAATAGTAGGTATTTGTGAGAGGCGTAGAGTTAAAATTAACGAAACTTAACCCATCTCGGTCTTAGGCCAGAACTTTATTACTTTCAGACAGTTGCGGGTCTGTTGATGTGGGACGCTTCCTCTGACGAGAGAACGGGTCTGTCATTTACAATTACCGCTGGTCTTCACCAGCGCAGTCATTCTCTCAGATTCGATACGTCCCATTTTTGTTGCCTCCTACGACTCGCGGGGCTACAATGGAGGTATTCTATCCGCCTCAACACGGTTTTCTCTCTGCTCTGGTCTGGTCTGTTATCTTATCTTCTTCAATCGGACGGACTAGAAGACACCCTCTTGAAGGTTTTCGTTTCCCGCGTTGGCTAGTGTACCCGTTGCAGCGGGAACTGCAATAGTCCTGGCTATCATTCCGCGGTAACGGTCTCTTATGTTAAGCTGGCTAGGAAACGTATTTTCATTTGTAGGTAACACGTTGATTTTATCTTTAGCGCATTGGTTGTTACGGAACAACGCTTATTGAGCCGTTACCTGACAATGGACGTCTCTGTATGCGCTGTCTCGGAAATGTTTTGTTAACAAACCGTTGTCTAGCAATGAACGCTCGCTCTGACTCAAGATATTCCGGCTTATATGAGGCACGCCACAATATGCTCTGTTTTTCTGTCAGACCCATTGTCATGTTTCGGATTTAGCGCTAATAGGAATTAATTTTTACTCAGAATTTCGACCATTTAATTCCTGTCTGCTTCTTGGAGGATTTCTTTATTACTACAAAAAAATATTTTGTTCAATATTATTCATCTCACAACCCTGCTGAAAATCCTCGAGATGTATCTTTGTTCTCCTGAGAATTTGCAAAACCGTCCAAGTTTGAATTCGTTATTATTATTATTATTATTATTATTATTATTATAACAGCCTTGCGGCTGTTGACTTGGCACATAAATAATAAAGAATAGAATAGAATTATTATTATTATTTAATTCAAATCAACATGGCTTCACCAGAACTAAATCTAAAGTTACCAATTTGTTGGCGTTTCTTAACTTTTTTACTCATGTTGTCGCGGTCAGAGTCAAGCTGATAGTTGGAGTATGCCTCGGTAGTTTGGAACTCTTATCACGTCAACTGGTGCCTTTAAGCGTGATCACATCCAGCAGAAGTTTACATCCGTCTGTTTTTATCGTTTTTTCCCTTCATGTTCCGTATACTTATACGGATGTCTTAGCAAAATGAAGCCTATATTCTTTACGTAAACGGAGACATCATCTTGATACACTTTTCTTCAAGTCTATCGTGGTCTTAAATCATGCACTTCCGTTTTTGAAACTGTTAGCCTTCGTGTACCGCCCAGAAATCTTAGGGACTTCTATTGGTTCCGTGTTTGTCCATCTAAAAAACGCTGTTCGTCTGCTCGGTGCCCCTATGCTGCCAACGTGGTGAGTAAAAATCTCTACATATCTGCAATCGGAGCCGTTTCTCTCAATCACATTTATAATCATCAACCTAAAACTGTTAAAGATATTTGTTCACAAACCTAATGTTTTGTGTTATGTAGTTCTTAGTTATCATGTTCTTGTTACCTCTCCTCATCTTCGTTCGTTTGTTTGTTTACTTTTCTACATTAATGTGTTTTTCTTCCAGTTCCTGCCTTTGACTTTGTCTTTGACTTTATGTTTTGTTCGTCCATAATGTAATTACTTGCATCTGCACTGTGCTGTGTCTATAATTGGCCTTGTAGCTGTTGACTCCGAACATAAATAATAAAGAATAGAATTATTATTATTATTATTATTATTATTATTATTATTATTATTAACTTACATGTGTGTACGTAGAAGTTAGAATAATCTTATGTGTGTACGTGGGGGGCACGCGGTAGCGTAGTTGGTTGAGGCACTATGCTACAAGCCGGAAGGTCGTGGGATTGAATCCCAATGAAGTGGATTCTTTCAATCTACATAATCCTTCCAGCCGCATTATGGCCTTGCGGTCGACTCAGCCTCTAACAGAAATGAGTACCAGGAATATTCTTGGAATATTCTTGGGGGTAAAGGGCAGCCGGCGCGTAAGGCTGGCGACCTTACCGCCATCTATGAGCCGATTGTCTAGAAAAATGTGTGAACCTCAACATCTCACAACCCTATGGGCCTCCACGGCCTGTTACAGGGATACTTTTACATTTTACTTTTGTGTGTACATGTACATGTATTGTTCTTTCTCGCCACAAATGGCATAACTATTGGAAATTTACTTATTTTATTTTTCACGCCTGTTAAGCTAACTTCAATTTTTTTTTAATTGTTATTAATTTATTGCTATTATATAGACTCTCATATTTTGTATTTTGCTCTTTAATTTTTTTTGTTTATTTTAGTGTACTCGTGCTAACTTTGTAACTGGCCACTGTACTGTTAAGTTTGCACGTAAATAAACACAAATTGAATTGAAAATTGAATTGTGATGATATGGTATGATATCGTTTTTTCGTGTCTTGAAAGTGAACAAGTTCAGTGTTCTTCAATATGCTATAGGCAAATGAAGACGGCATTCAGTATGGCAGCAATAATAGTCAAAATTTTGTACTAATTCAGTAAAATTAAACTACCCAGGTGGGTGTACGTTTTCACATTATCCATAATAAACCTCTCTGTGCGCTCGGACAGGATTGGACGTTGGCGAACCAACGATGCATTATGGTTACGCGAGTCATGTGATAATGGTGCCCAATGAAAAGACAGATCCATAACAGTTCCCCGAAACGTTGTGGTCATCTCTTCCAAAAATACTTCACGCTCGAAAGCGGAGAAAGGAAGTAACTAGTGCTACGAGGAGGAGGTGATATGTTGAAAGACATAAAGAAGTAAGCAAACTTTGCCTAATAGACAGCACGCTTCAGAACCTAAATTTATCATCATCCCCCAACACACAAGGAATATTAGTTTCTGTCGGACAATTGGAAGTGTGGAAACAACACTGGTGCGTAATAATAAATCTCCATCATAAGTACGCTCTATGATTAAGGTATGTCATACCGTCATTGGTGTAAGTTTAGTTTCAAGGCAACTAGTGATACCGATGGCAGCGCAGCGCTTCAAAACTATATGTAGCGTGACAGAAATTACAGTTAGTTATGAACTGGATATGAATTGTATTTGTAGTAGTGTGCAGTTCTGTAACAAAGTTCGTGATCTTTGTATATGGGTATGATTTAGTATGAAATGTTTATATAGACCTTCGTACATTTTTTTTAAGGCTGGTCAGTAAAAACTATTTGAAGACACGCTGGTCAGAAAAATAAAAGGAAGTTGCGAAGGAAATGGACCGCTTGGGTGTGTAAATAAATTATATTGGAATGGAGTTATTTTTGCATGATTAGGTGTATCGTATGTGTTCTGCTAGTAACAACTGGGACATGGTGAATTGAAGCTTTATAACCAGTTAAGCTTCATTACTTGAATGGAGTGTATTGTAATGCAGTGTGATTTTCTGTGAAGTACAACTGTAGCGCTAATGTAAACGACGTCACACTTTCACCGAACAGTTATGAGTTAAGTGATACAGTGTCAGGCAGTTAGGCCAAGTCCACTACATTATTTTTAAGTATTACATTCTGGAAAGACAGATTGGGTACCAACTGATAGAAGTCGTGTGATTTAAGAGAGGAATCCAGAATTTAAGAAAAAGAAACCGTGTGTCCTTTCAGGGAGTACAGGTGACACAGTAGCCAGATTTTGCAGTATGTGCCAGAAATGAGTCCAGAAGAGCATACTACATAGTTTATTTTTCCGCCAGATAATGAATTACATTTTTATATGTTTACAACCATTTCTGTTGTCTTGTGTATTTTTTTTTGGGGGGGTGGGGACTGTTGTTCAGTCATGTTCTTACTGATTGAAGATAGTGCACTGTTCTCTTTTTAGTACTCGGCTGATGAATGAAAATTTAATTTGTGAATTGTATGCCCTTTAAGATGCCTATTTACCAGAGTAACTTACCTGCACTCAGTTGGTGCAACGAGTAGTTTCCCAGCGATTTTATCCCTCTGATGCAAGCAAAAACTGGTCATATCACGGATACATTTGTTATCAGCATTCTTTCATTTTCATAAAAAATTGAGCTTAGATGCATGAAGATGTCTCATTTTATAGTAGAATTTAGACCATTGTTTTCATGATACATAAATTTGATGGAGTTGTGGCACCTGAGACACTGTAATAGTAATGGGATTGTATCAGATGCATCGAGTATTGTGCACTGTGACAATGTTTTCATTGCATCAGTTGCAGAGTTTCTGATTGCATCTGTTTAATATGCAGTTGCAAGATGAAATTGGGATTGACCTGAAAAACTGGGTTTGGCAGCATGACCAGTGATATTACTTTCGGTCAGTTATTGTAGTTCATGTCAGTGAAGAGTAAGACATTTTGTTTCAGCTCCTTTTCCGCTCCATGTCACTCTCTGTGACACAGTTCTCGCTGTGTTTAATTTGTGAATGTGGAATTTCATTTTTCCTTAAATTAATATGTCTTGTGTTCTGTGGAATTTAATTGATTGCATCCCACTTTATACCATAGCAGTGTATATTTTTCTTCTACAGGGGTTGTTTGATAGTTTTGTGCAATTGTTGTGGCTGATCCAGTGTGTAAGAGACATGCTACATGCATCCAGTCTTTCCATACTTGTTTCAGCTCACAGCACACTTAACAAGCTTGTTGGTCAAGTAAATCACACACAGAATCCACCCAGATCACAGGAAATGGTGGATCTGGTCCCTGATGTTAAACACCTTGCTTGCACCTCCATAAAATGTTCACATTCATCCATTGAAGTTTCTTCTTGGAGTAGACTTCAAACATGAGATAGCACTGATTTTATGCAGTATCACAATTGTGTAGTTGCAGTATAATGTTACATAGTACGTTAAGTAGCCATTATTCTTGTTCATCTAGACACAAGACGCAGGATAAGCCTGCCAACTTGACAATAAAGTGATATCCACAATTTATCTAGTTTAATTTTTCAGATAACACAGATCTATAGATAAATGTTTTAAGGTCAGTGCTGGAGTCATTTTGTCAGGCATATTAAAGGATTATTCATAGGTAAGTTTGGGCTTTGGATAGGTGTGGATATTACAACTTCTAATCTGTGTTAGGGTGGATGTTATTGTATGTTATAACTGGACACTAGAAAGTGCTGACTTATTTACCTTCAGAAATTTGAGCCATAACCCATACACCTGTAACTACAACTTTTAGGTATTATGTTATGTGTTAAATCGTGAAAGCCGAGTTACATATTGGGGTAAAATAAAGTTGTCCCTGTGCTTAATTAATTAAGTGCTGTGCCCTGAAGATGGAAGGGGGGGTGGATGTATAGATCCACGTTTTCTTGACCTAGGCACTGGTTGGAGGTGAATGGTCAGCTTCATGCCCCGGCTGCTTTACCACCGGAAAGGAACCCCTGTTACCCATTGGATAGGAGGCTGGGTGGGCCTCAGAGCTGGTCTAAACAGTGTGGAGAAGAGAAAACTCTTGACCCTTCCAGGACTCAAACCCTGATCCCTCGGTTGTCGAGCCTGTAGCCAGTCGCTACACTGACTGCACTATCCCATGGTATAAAAAGTAAAGCTATCCCTGTAACAGGCCGTGAAAGTCCATAGGGTTGTGAGACGTTGAGGGCCCCACATTATCTAGATAATCGGCTCATAGATGGCGGTAAGATTGTCAGCCTTATGCACCGGCCACGCTTTACTCCCCAGGAAAATTATTTAATAAATTCCTGGTACTCATTTCTGTTAGAGGCTGAGTTGACCCCAGGGCCATAGTGCGGTCAGAAGGATTAGGTCAACTGATAAAAATCCAATAGTCATTTAAAACCTAGAGAGGAGAAAATTACTGTATCTATGTATCTAGTTGTGGTAGTGTCAGGAAATTCAACAGATCAGTGAATTATGTAAACTACATAGTGCTGTCGATTTGTAACCCACTCCCCCCCCCATCTGCTGTTTACAGTGAATGAAAGAAATGCAAGAACTTTTGCTAAGAGTTGAAATATAATATTCTAAAGTTATGAGTATGCAAGACAATCTCATTACAAGGTTTAGTGAGCCTTTTCTGTCATACTTATGAAAGGTGTGAAATTTTTTAAAAATTATTTTCATTCATAGATATTTTAATTACAACTCGTGTATCACAAAAAGCTAATCTTTGTTAGTGTGTCACCTGCTCTCTCCTATACTACCTGTGATACATTACAGTGATATCATTGTTGTCCTAAAGAAATATGACCTTGCACACATTAATTCTTATGACAAGGATATAGGTATTCACCAACCAGTAGCTTTTAAGTCCATCAAGGAAGTACCTCATTTCTAGTTGTTTGAGTTTACACTGATAACTTCATGGTGTGCGTTGAAGCGTTAGCATTAATTTTGCATGTATAGATAATGTAAATAATCTGCAACAAGGATGTACTAGAAATGCCTACATATCCTGCAAGGGCTTTTCAGAGTCTTTATTTTGCACTAACAAGGTATTGATTGTGTACCTTTCTTATTTTTAATGTTAGCAAACGTCAGCCCTTTTTATTTGCATTTTGACACTGTTGATTTTGATTGATTATCGTGAATTACGTCTGATATTTTATGAACACATTTAAATTTAGAGTATATGTGAATTTTTTATTAAATCTAAGTTACCTCAGATTTACAAAATACAGATATCAAAATTCATGTGCCCATCACTTATTCAGTATGGCTGATTTTGCACATTGTCACTGTGTCTTGGATGCTGTTTGCATATTAAAGATAAAGGTCAAGTTGTCCTTGTGCTTAATTAATAAAGCATGGTGCCATGAAGATGTATGGGGGAGTAGATGTATTTTTTTTTTTATTGCTAGTGGGGTGGGACTAAGTCCCTTGTACTGCGGCCAGTTCTGGCCTCTTGTACGAGCCCCAGATGATAGGTGAGGGTGACTGTGGAGCAGTTGGTGGAATGAAGATTGGCTGGGGAGACCGAAGTACTCGGAGAAAACCTGCCCCAGTGCCACTTTGTCCACTACAAATCCCTCTTGACCAGACCTGGGATCGAACCCAGGCCACCGCTGTGGGAAGCCAGCGACCAACTGCTTGAGCTATTGCGTAGCCAAAGTAGATGTATAGCTCCATCGTCCTTGACCCAATTGATGGGCCTCAGCTGGTCTGGGTGGATTCTTTGGAGAATAGAAAATGTATTGACCCTGCCAGGAATCAAACCACAACCATTGAATGCATAATACCAACTGAGCTATCCCAGCTCCTGCTTTTTGCATATTACTTTGTTAAAAATTCTTTCGATGATAAAGTTTTCAAACTCACTGCAGTATTATTTGGGCAACAGATAGTAATATAGAATGTAAAACAGCTTAAAACATGATACTGGTATTTACTATAGTGGTGATGTTTTTTATCTTTGTAAACTGCAGTTGTGTACTGCTAGACTTATCAAAAGCATTTGATTATATTGAACATAACACTCTTCTGGATAAATTATAACAGTATGGAGTTTGTGGTATACCACATAAGCTAATCAGATCCTATCTCACAAGCAGAGCACAACAGGTGAAAGTTACAAACGTAGCAGACATTCAGCTGAAGAAATAATTGTTAAGTAGCCTTCCAGTTAGATCTGGAGTTCCTCAAGGTTCTGTTTTTTTTTTCCAATACTTTATATATTATATATA